CACTTGGTGGTACTGTAATGTCATCTCGAGACCTCAATGTGATGCGCTGTGTGTGAAGGGGGCGGGGTGACCTACTTTCGACGGACACGCGCAACGGACGTCCTCCCTACGAAGGGTGGTGCCTAAAAAAAAGAGCCGCGTTACAAAGGATAAGATAGTAATGCAAAATTATATACAGTACCGCCAAAAAAAAAATCATCACGGATGCATTCTGTCATAACTCATCTCGGTGATGTTTTGAGCCGATTTTTTTTGATACATGGACAATAGAGATAAATTAATTCCCACGATAGAAGTTATAAAATCCCCTTTCTTTCGCTCAGACCACCTTTCATACTTTTTTTCTGAACAGGAAAAAATAATACCAATTTTAGCAGTTCGAAAAAATCGTCTACATGAACTTTATATTCATGAAATGAAAGAGTGATTAACTACCAGTCAAATGATTTCCTTCCATTCTTCTTCCAACTGAGCAAGTCTCTAGACAGTATCTGTTTCTCTCTTACCGGCTCTCCTTTTCTCGAGCTCTTGCTATATCAAATCAACGTTTTAAAATGGAGGGACTAGCTGGGCCAGTCCAAACATCGAACATTCCGACGAGCCACCCGCTCGCACATCTTTCTAAATCTGTGTTCAGGGTCTTTGAAATGCTGGAAAATGAATTTCCTGCCGTGCACACGATGGGCGAAAGGTAGCATGCACTATTCAAGATGTCTACGCACATCTGCTGGTCCATAGTGGTGGGAATATAATGCAGAGGCCCTATGCCTGAACTCGAAAACATCCCCTAACCACCGCCAACATACTTGACAGTTGGCAATTGGTAGTTGGGGAAGGATCGTCGACATTTCGGTCTTTATATCAGAAGATGTTTGCGTGGGATCTTAGCTAGACACACGGATGATCTCCCTATCCCTCCTCAAAGGCGGTAACCCGTGGCCTCCCGTGCCGACTTGTTTGGAAAACCCACCTGGCGGACAAGTCACTTTTGCAAATTTTTCTTTTCAAAAATCACCCACCCGGCGGGAAGTGAACTACCGCATACTGCCTACTTCTTCCTATTCATCCCAGGAGAGACGGCAATGTTCGAAAAAAGCGCTATCAAAAACATTGTGTTCGAGATGATACATGACAAAATAGGTCCATAGTAATTTCTTTTTAAACTCTACTGTATATGGGGAAGGCACACTGATGGACATAAAAAATAAGAGGTCAAGATAGCCGTTAAAAAGGTACGGAGCCTTAAGTCTCTACGTTTGCGAACTAAAAAGTCGTCGCTAATCTGATAAAAAAAAACCCACAGAAGTTACCGTTACCCTGTTCGCCATATTGGGTATTAATTAGTTTTATAATAAGTTTTGACTAGTTCAGGTAGAACGATTATTTCGACAAAACGTTCGTTCTGGTCGAAGTCGAAGTCTTGACTATAGGAGCGATTTGCTGTCTACCCGCCCTGTTGGTGGAAGCCACAGTGCACGCCTAGCTAAATACAAATGCCGGCCATTCGAAGATGGAGGTAACAACTTTTCAGATAATAAAGTGTAAAACTTACTCATGAGGCCTACACTTTTTTTTATAAAACAAGTAATCAGCAAATTATTTGGCGCTCAGGTTGGGGAAAAAAAGATGAAGATCATTCTCCTCTGAAAGAACGATACATTCCGATTACACTGACGGCGATCACGTAAATGATGGATTTGACTTCAAGAGTTCCACAGTGAACCACGGATGGATGAAGATCCCCAGATAAACAGAACCAGCCTTCCAAGATACCCATTTGCCCAATCAGCAGGTACTACGCATAGGTGAAACCCTCTGTGCCTCAGTTTCTTGTGACCGTAGCTACGATGCAAAAAAGCCGAAAGTAAGATAGTGACGAGTAGGAGCCATGTGCTATCAAAAATCGGAACGTAGAGCATAAGCAGACAGAATCGCTTAACCATCCCTACAGAAACCAAAGACCACTTCTCCATAATAATTGGACTTTAACAGACCAATCAAGTCTTCCGTCTCCGTAAATCACTCCATAAGTGCCCTGGGAGTAAAAACTTGGCTTCTACCACACCTGGCTTCCAAAAATCATAAATACAGGTAGAGTGGGCGAACACCTTGACTATTTGCGAAGAGAGATAGAACCACGTTAAACAATGTATTCTTCCGATTTGTGAGTAGTGATGAAAGTCGATTGAACTACGGACTTCCTCCTTGTCGATCCACTGAACGGCATTATTGAAATAATAAATAAGTGAAAAAATACTTAAAATGGTAGGTTATGGAGGAGTATCCGCAAGTCTGAATATTTCAGTCAGCGGCGCTATCTCGGGACTGTCACAAGACGAAAAACGTATGATTGAGATGTGTTGGCTCAAATGTACTCGACGGCAATTGAAACGATGTTCCGAAGATATTTTTCTAGATATTTTACATCAAGACGAATCATTATCATTACTTTTCAACTTGGTGAGTAATTTTGAAGATCAATATCCACCATTAAATCAGCTTGATTTTAAAGTAATTACATTATCAAGGAAGAATAAAGGGATGCGAACTAATGATAGAAGTTGTTACGTATACTACCTTTTCGAAGAGTTAAAGGATGAAGTTTAAAGGATAAAGTTTTTGACCTTAATCAATCCCCTCTGAGGGATGCACCCCCGCACTCGACTTCCATTCAGAATCATAGTGGCGTAATTAGTGCGTATGCGGCCTATACAATGACTTGCGGTGGCCAGCCGATGTACAAGTCAGCGCTTTTATCCTCCCACACGAGTCTGGTACCAATTTACCGACCCCGGAGGGATGGAAGGCTTCGTTGGCCTAGGCGGATCCGGAGTTTGAACCCTTACCGTGCGTGTGAAATAGTGCGCCACTTGCCACTACACTACCTCCGTCCTTGGGAAGAATTACCTTCCGAAAAGCGCGACATATTCGACACCTATCTCGAATTGTAAAAGTATGAGGATGTAAATCAGCTCNGTATTTAAGTGCTTACTGTGTACGAACTTACTATGTCATTCTGCGGAAGGATGTACTTTTTTTACTTTTCTTTTTTAAACCTTCTTTGATCTCCTATAATCCAAAATTGTACTCAACGGGTCTAACAGTGGTAATGCCTAGAGCAGCTGATACCCTGGCCATCCACCTGTGCCCCTGTTCTTTTTTTTGATTCGATAGAAAGGAAATCATCCTAGGAGTGATAGGAATCCCAGGTGCTTTTGCAGGAAGCCGTACCACCTACAAGGTTACGTGAGCACGAATATTTCAAGTCACATGCAGCAAATTTTGTCATCGTTTTGAATCTGGTCATTACTAACCTACAAAACAGTTTCGAGCAAACCTGCGAAGCTTTACAGGTACCATTTATTATTACTTACCATTAGAATTGATTATACATCGAAAAAGGCAAAAAAAATCCAACAAAAATAAGCATATCTGGGATGCGCTACTCCCCCGTTCCTCCGGACCGTGCAAACTAAAAGAAATCCTTCCTCAGAGAATGTTATGTTTACTAGACTCTATGTTTATGCACTGGTATGAAAGAGATGAATCGGGGACGAAATTCCAAGGCAGTAGTAGTTAGTAAGGTTTGATGAGAGTGCAAAATGAAGGTGATTAACAGCTAATCAGTGAGAAAGAAATCGAGGAAGCCTATCTCACGGGTGTCAGCTTATGGTCAGAAAGTCAGCTCGGGATAGGGCTTAACCCCTCATTCGTATTTTGTGGTAACGCGCTAATATTCACCAAGAAACAAACCAAACTGAAAGATTCCTTTGATGAAGCGGTCAGCTTCGGCCTTGGTTATTCAACCGAGAATCCTTTTTCGATTTGGGGATTGCTTTATTTTGGACTAACCGCATCCGAAATAAAGTAAAAATTGATCCAGACAGGGTCTAACACTTCAAACAGTGTAAACGGTGCAATCAACCCTAATTCGTACCGACTTTCTCTTGGTGTATTCATGACCATTTTTGAAATTAAACCCCACTTTTGAGGCAATTTATTCCAATTTTGTCTTCAGACCCTCGGCTACCAACACGTTGCATTGAAAACGCGTGGATTTCAATCGATATTCTGGGATGTATTCACGGACTGTTTTGAGCGAAACCATCCTGTAACGTTTCGAAAAGAATCTGAACGAGAAGTGAGTTCTGATTTGATCACCATCATTCTGATTACTATTCCAACAACTACAGCGAAAAGTTTTCATGATTATTTTTTATCCAGTTATTAAAGGGATTTTAGCAAACATATGTAAGTCACTCTAAAATTGTTCTGGACAGCTGAGCCACATGAGCAAATTAGTTATCAGGAACGAATTCCGGTATAGAAGACAGGCGCGTAACACAAGGCCCAAATAACCGCCGTACTTGTGGCCCTTTTCAACAGCACTGAATGAAAGAACTCATTTGTAACTGAGCTGTGAGTATTCTGATTAGTGAAGAGAAAGTGGTAGAGAATAATCTTAGAGGAGAGAACTGCACCCTGCGTAATTCACGATCATAAAATTCGGAGGGCAAACGAAGCAATCAATAATAAAAACTTTCAATCAGTAAAAAAAAAACGAGAAAAAAAAAGAAAATTGATTTTGGCATACCTACTATCACTTTGACCTCCAGATGCTTTTTCAGGCATGGAGCCGCATGATTCTGTTCATATTGTCACAAATGAAAATCGGCTACCATCGCGGACTTGGCGACAGGAAAATTGGACGACAAAGTGTTCCAGCTATTTTCTGAAAATTGTCATTTGCATTGGATTATCACCCTTATCAACCTGATCACAAAACGAGTAAAACGAGTTTTCTTGAAAATAAATGCTCCAAATTCTATGACATTTATGTGTAAAATAACAAATATGGTAAAAATGCGAAGGATGTACTTGAGAGGTTGCCCTCGAAGGGCTAAGTTACCGAGCTACACTGGCTTGTTCCAACGAGAACTTCTTTTCCATTGATCAAAAAAGAAAAAAAAAACACAAAATTCCTACCCGTAATAGAGCCAAAAGGCTTTTCGTGGTATGCTAAAGAAAAACTCT